AAAGGGCTACATTCAAAAACTCTGTAAATAAATCAAAATGGAATTGTAAGGAAAAAAAAAGCTTAAATAACCCGAAGGAATGCAAGGAAAGAGAGCGGAGGAATGAGACCAGAGAAAACAAACTGTAAAATACTGTGAGTAAGTACTAACATGTCAATAATGCTTTTTAAATTAATGGTCTAATTATACCAATCAAAAGACAGATACAGCAGAGTGAATTAAAAAAAACAAAAACAAAAAAAAAACAAACCAAAAAAACAGAACCAAACTATGTGCTGCTTTCAAAAAACTCACTTTAATTCTAAAAAGGTAGGTTCAACTAAAAGGATTTTTTGAAATATATCATGCAAAAATCCTTAACAAAGTATTAGTAAAATGATTCCAGCAATGTATTAAAACTTATACACTACGATCAAGGGGGATTTACTCCATATATACAAGAATATTTGTTCTTTTTTTTCTTTACCCAGGCTGGAGTGCAGTGGCACAATCTTGGCTCACTGCAATCTCCACCTCTGTGGTTCAAGCAATTCTTCTGCCTCAGCCTCCCGAGTAGCTGGGATTACATAGGCACTGGCCACCATGCCAAGCTAATTTTTATTTTTAATAGAGACAGGGTTTCCCCATGTTGGCCAGGCTGATCTCGAATTCCTGACCTCATGTGATCCACCTGCCTTGGCCTCCCAAGGTGCTGGCATTACATGCATGAGCCACCCCACCCGGCTATTTGTTTTTGTATATTGGAAATATTTGTTCGTTTGTTTCAAGAAATTTGTAACTGATTGTTTCAACATTAGAAAATCTATTAGTATTATCCAGCGTATCAACAGTCTAAAGAAGAAAAACTGTATGGTTGTATCAATTGATGCAGAAAAAGCCTTGACCGAATTCCACACCATTCATAATAAAAAACTCTCAGCAAAATAGAAATAGAGGAGAACTTCCTCAACTGAATAAGAACGTCAGTGCAACACCTACAGCTAAAGTCATACTTAGTAGTGAAAGGCTGAGTGATTTCCCCTTAAGATTAGAAGAGAGTCAAAGACATCTATTCTCATCACTCTAATTCAACATACCACTGGAAGTTCTAACCATGGCAACAAAGCAAGAAAAGAAATAAAAGGCATACAGATTGGAAAGGAAGAAATAAAACTTTTTATTTGTAGGTAACATATTATCTACATAGAAAACCCCAGGAGATCTACAAAAAAAAAAAAAAAGTAACTTTTATGAGATTTCAGCAAAGTCACAAAATTAATACACACACAATTCAATCACATTTTGATAAAGTAACAGTGAGCATGTGGAAGTGAAAATTAAATACCCAATACCAATTATAATTGAGTTTCAAAGAAGATGAAATGTTTATGCACCTAAAAAGTATGTACAGAAGTTTTATGTTGAAAATTACAAAATGCTGAAGATACCAGAGAAGATCTAAATAAATGGAAAGACATGTTCTGTTCATGGATTGAATGACTCAACATATTAGAGACATCAGTTCTCCCCAGCTTGATCTATAGGTTTATTAAAATTTCTATAAAAACCCCAGAAATGTTTTTTACAGACATAGTTAAGGCTATCTGAAATTTATGTGACAAGTCACAGGCTCTAATAAAGTTTAAACAATCTTGAAAAAGAAAAATAAAGTGGGAAGAATCTTTATACGTAGTATTAATGCTTACTGTGTAGCTGCATTCATCAAGATGTATGGCTTTAGTGTAGAAACAGACACGTGGACCAATGGAACAGTTATAGAAACACACCCACACAACATGCTCAACTGATTTTCGACAAAGATGCAGAAGCAATCCAGTGGAGGAAAGATAGCCATTTGAATAAATGGTTGGAGCAATTGGATATCCAAAGGCAAAATAATAAACCCCAACCTAAACCTCATACCTCATGGACATCTTAGCTCAAAATGGATCATGGACTTACATCTAAAAACATAAAACTATAAAACTTCTAGAAAGAAATGTGGGAAAAATTGGGGGGATGTTGGGCTACCAAAGAATTTTTAGTCTTGATTCCAAAAGCACGATCCATAAAAGGAAGCATTAATATATTGAATGTCATCAAAATTAAAAGCTTTCACTCTTTGGGAGACCCTGTTAAGAGCATAAAAAGATGAGCTGCAGACTTAGAGAAAGTATCTGCAAATGACATATCAGACAAAGGCCTTAGTATCTAGAATATATGAAGAACTCTTAAAACTCAACAGTAGAAAACAAACCATCTAATCAGAAAATAGGCAAAACGTATGCAGAGACATTTCACCGAAGAGAATCTACAGATGGCAAAGAAACACATGAAAAGAGGGTCAACGTCGTAAAATTCAACAGCCCTTCAGGTTAAAAACACTCCATAAACTAGGTATTGGTGGAACATATCTTAAAATAATAAGAGCCATTTATGACAAACCCGTAGCCAATATCATACTGAATGGGCAAAAACTAGAAGCATTCCCTTTGAAAACCCGCACAAGACAAGGATGCCCTCTCTCACCACTCCAATTCAGCATACTGTTGGAAGTTCTGGCCAGGGCAATCAGGCAAGGGAAAGAAATAAAGGGTATTCAAATAGGAAGAGAGAAAGTCAAACTGTCTCGGTTTGCAGATGACATGATTGTATATTTAGAAAACCCCATCATCTCAGCCCAAAAACTCCTTCAGCTGCTAAGCAACTTTAGCTAAGTCTCAGGATACAAAATCAATGTGCGAAAATCAGAAGCATTCCTATACTCCAATAACAGACAAGCAGAGAGCCAAATCATGAGTGAACTCCCATTCACAACTGCTATAAAGAGAATAAAATACCTAGGAATATAGCTTACAAGGGACGTGAAGGACCTTAACATCACAAACCACACGGTCCAGTCATTCTACTCCTAGATATTTATTCAGGAAGAATGAAAGCCAATGTCAATGCATAGACTTGTATGCAAATGTGTGTAACTTTATTTATAATAGCCCAAACCTGAAAACAACATCAACAGGTGAATGGATAAGTAAATCGTGGTATTTAATAGTGGTATACAATAGAATACAGCTCAGAAATAAGAAATGAATGAACTATTGATTCATGCTACAACATGGGTGAATCTTAAAATAATTATATAAATGAAGAAAGGAGAAAAGAGTAATTTCTGTATTATTCCATTTATATAAAATTCTAGAAAACTGAAACTAATGTGTAGTGGCCGAAAGCCAATGAGTAGTTCCTGGAGAATGGAGGGAGAGGGCTTGTAGGAGGGTGGGCAGATTTACAATGGGGCACAAGGGAATTTGGAGGGTGATGAATATGTTCATTATTTTGACTGTAAGAATGATTTCACAGTTGGGAAAGTCAAACTATTCAAATGGTACATTTTACAGATGTTCAGCTTATTGTATGTGAATTACACATCAATAAAGCTGGCTAAAAATGGGATAATATAAGAACAACATAAAATTCTTTCGATTCTTCTTTTGCTGATACAGTTGGCTTTCTGTTAGAAATGTTTGGCATTTGCTGGCCGTGTGCTGTAGCCCCAGGTACTTGGGAGACCAAGATGAGAGGATCACTTGAGCCCAGGAGCTCAAGACCAGCGTGGACAACATAGTGAGCCTCTTGTCTCTAAAAAGAAAAGAAAAGAAACATGTTTGGAATTTGAGCTCTTTTTATCTAGTCTTATAGCATATTCACTTCTCATTTTGGCAGAATGAAGATCTGACTCTTTTAGTTGAGGAAATGGAACAAGGTCACCGTGACCTGGAGAAGATGCGAGACCTTTATTCCGAGTCGGTGATCATGGACTGGTGGTACAATGCGGAAAAGGATGGAGACAGCAAGTGAGCGCGCCTGCCCACCTGTCTCCCTGCGCGGGGGCCACTCGAGAGCGGGGCCTGCCCCCTGGGCCCTTGTCCTTTCTGAAATGCTCTGTGAAATTTCTTTTAGTGAAAAGAATCACATAGTGTGATTAAGTTAGGATTTTTTTAAGCAAAGAGAATTAATAATTTAATGACAATTTAATCGTGGGCTTGAGGAGGCCACATATTCCCCTTTATGTTATCCATGCAGTGCGGACGGGCCCCCAGACCCAAGCACTGACATGGCAGAGAGGAGCGCTGTGTGGGGAAGGAGCTCTGACTCCGGGATCCGGAGGCCGAGGCCTGGACTTCCCTCTGTGTGACTGTGGTGAGGCCCAAACTTCCCTCCACACCTCTCCATTGCATGGGCCTCTGTTTCCTCATCTTTAAAATGGTGGCCGTGGTGGTGGGTTTGGGATAGATGATTTCTCATGTCTGCCCCCATCCTATATTCTAATATATTTCTATTTCGTGGTTTTTAAACAAAATCAAAACCACCCCCGAACACACCGGAAATTGGTCAAATTTTGTTAAGATGATTTAATATTTTCCAGATATTCAAGTATTACAGCCTACCCTGCCAGGGTATCTTTTTTAGTTCAAAGAATGATAGAAAATTGGGGAAAAAAAGAAAATACATTTATTAATCAGAATTTATTGTTCAACAAAACGCACTCTCTTCCTGTTAGCAAAGTAAGCATTTGTACAGGTTTAGGGTAGGGCATGACTGTGGAACCAGTAAAAAGAGGTAAATGTTATAATGGTCATCTTATAATGAGATTTTATGGCATTATTTTTTTAAGTATTTGTGAAAGCACAGAGACAGCTTCTAAACTTCGAATTTTTGAACAAATAAACTAAGAATCAAGTAAATAAGCTGTTTATTGAGTACAAACCATGCAGTAAGAGAACTGGGGTGCACAGATGAATGTCAGCCTGGTTCCTTCTGCCGTGGGGGGGCACAGTGCGGGCACAGACCCACAGAGGGCTGTGGAACCCGGGGCAGGTGCTCCGCGGAGGTGTCAAGGGGCACTGGTGCAGGAGGGAGGGCACACGTCACAGTGTTGGAGCAGAAGATTGCTCCGAAAGTTTTCCTTTGTATGGCTGCTGTCTTCAGAGCTTCAGAGAAGGTCATGTCTGAGAAAACACTCAAGTGTTTCTGGGATCCCTCCATTCTGCAGAACGGTTCCCTGTGATCTGGTGCTGGCATGGGAGGTCCAAGGCAGGAGTTCCCTTCTCTAGCTTTTGTAAGTGCCTGCTGGTAGACACTTTGGTTAGAGAGTGGGTTTCTGCAGTGCTTACTTGTTTATAACAGGCTTTCCCCCCTACGAATCCTCCCATCGGCCCCATGTCGTCACTAGACAGGTGTACAGGTCACGTCTCCTGCAGTTGATAGATGAGGAAAGTGAAGAAGTTTAGAGAAGATTGAGTTACTTGACTGAGGTCACAGAGCCAGGAAGGACCAGACCTGTGATGTTAGCTGTATCTTCTGACTCCAAGGCTGGGCCCCTGTCCACTCTTCGGCACTGGTCAGGGATAAATGACTGTTTTTATATTAACCCGGATGGGGGAAGGCTTACTTCTTTAAGTTTGCAGTGTTCAACATGAATGTGTTGACTTAACTCTGCCTTCTTGATGGAAATTTTTTTCTCTCTCTTTTTTTTGCTCTACTTTTTATCTAAATCAAAACAGGCATCAAAAGGAAATCTGTTCTATGGTTTCAACCCCAGAAAAATGTGCAAAGCCTCAATCTGATGTCGGTTCAACACAAACTTCATCCCTGAATGTGTTGAAGGGACCATGGGGCCTTTCAGATCAAAAGATTCGGAAAAAGAAAGTCCTCCACGCAGGTATCAGTGAACAAAGCGGCTTGACTCTTTGCTGGTTTCTCTTCAAGGCAAGAAGATAGAATAAAACTAAACACACGTACTATTTTTAAGACGCACTAAACCTGTGGGTTTTTTTAAATTAAAAATTTTACTAAAATAATTGTACATTCACATGATCTTATATATACCTACCCTTCATCCTGTTTCCCCGATGGTAACATCTTGCAAAATAATAGTCCAATATTGAAACCAGGATATTGACATTGATACAATATCCACAGGTCTTATTCATATTGTCCAGTTTTACTTGTACCCGTGTGAGTGTGTGTGTGTGTTGTGTGTGTCTGACAGTCTATGTTTAGGTCTACACGGTTCGATCACATGTATAGGTTTGTGTTTCCACCACTACAGTCAAGATGCAGCAGAGTCCCATCACCACGGGAATCCTTCATGCTGCCCTTTCATAACCACACCCGCCTCCCTTGCACACCCTTCCTACAGCTAAAATCAAACCAAGTGGTGAAAGACTGAATTATTTCCCCCTAAGATTGGGGAAAAGGATGCCAACTGTCACCACCCTTATTCAACGTAGCACGGGAAGTTTTAACCACTGCAGCAAGGCAAGAAGAAAAAATAAAGCAAGAAAGATCGGAAAGAAGAAATAAAACTGTCCCGATTTGCAGATATCGTATTGTCTATGTAGAAAACAGCAAGGGATGTACCAAAAATACAAGTTCTAGAGCTGCTGAGTTCAGCAAGGTCTCTGGCTACAGGACACACAAAACCAGTTGCATTTTGATATACTAGCAGTGAACATACTGCAAACTATATTAAAGCCATTCATAATTGCTCCAGATAAAATACATTAGGTGAACATGTAACAAAGTATGTGCAGAATCTGTATGCTGAAAATTATAAAATTCTTCTGTAGGACACTAAAGAAGACCTAAATAAATTGAGATACTGTGTTCAGAGGTTGAATGAATTGGTGTGACAGATGACAATTCTCACCTCATTTATCTATAGGTTTAATGAAATTCCTAATAGAATCCCCAAAATCTTTTTATAAACATATGCAAGCGTATTCTAAAATATATACAGAAACTTCAGGTTCTACAATAGCTAAAATAATTTTGAAAAAGAGAATGAAGTTGGAAAAATCGCCATACTGGATATTAAGGCTTACCACATAACCACATGAATGAAGACAGCGTGGTGTCAGCAGAGGGATAGGTGGAACAGGGCCTGGGTTTAACCCACACAAATATACCCAAATGATTTGACAAAGGTGCAAAGTTCACTCAATGGAGGGAGTAAAGCGTTTTCAACAAAGACGCGGAAGCAATATCTACAGTCGAAGAAGGAAAAGAAACTTGACCGTAATCTCACACGGACCGTGGATTTAAATGTAAAACAGAAAACCATAAGACTTCTAGAAAAAAGATTAAAGAAAACTTCTATCCAGCGAAGGAAGTTCCACGCATTTCTAGCTTTCTGGGAGTTTTTATCATGAATGGGTGCTGGATTTTATCAAACGCTTTTTCTGTGTCAACTGAGACAGGCTTTTTCTTTAGTCTGTTGACATGGTGGATGACATTAATTGATTTTCAAATGTGGAAGCAGCCTTGTATATCTTGGAACATTTCCCACTTAGTCTCAGTGTATAATTCTTTTAATGCATCACTGGATTCCATTCGTTACTATTTTGTTGAGGATTTTGGTATCAACGTTCATGAAAGCTATTGATCTATAGTTTTATTTATTTTTCTTTTTTTAATACTGTCTTCATCCAGCTTTGGTATCAAGCTAATACTGTCCTCACCAAATGGGTTGGAAAATTGTCCCTCCTCTTCTATTCCTGGAAGAAATTGATGTAATTCTTCTTTGAATGTCTGGTAGAGTTATCATGGAGCCATCTGGGCCTAGGGATTTCTTTTCCAGATTTTTCATGATGAATGCCATTTCTGCAATGGTTTTAAGGATATTGTCCATTTCAGGTTGGTCGAGTTCTGGCAGTTTGTGGTTTCTGAGTAATTGGTCTATTGTTTCTAATTTATCAAATTTATGAGGGCAAAGTGGTTTTTTGTATCCCTTTGTCAGCTTTTTTAATGGCTGCAAGATCTTTAGCAATGAACTCTCAATATTAGTGCTTTCATCTGTCTTCTCTCTTTTTGTCTTTTTTCTATCTAGCTAGAGGTTTTCTTGATTTTCCTTCTATTTGTTCATTTGTTTCCAGAGAATGTATAATTAATTGTTGAAGGACTTTTATGGGTAGCCTCTTTAAAATCCTTGTCAGATAGTTCCAGCTCCTGATTCTTCTTGGTGTTGGCATCATGCGTTTGCTTTTTCTGATTGAAGGAGAGATTGTTTTTCTAGTTACTGATATGATGGGTGATTTTTTATAGTATCCTGGACATTTTGTCTATTATGTTAGTTACTCTGCATCTCATTTAAGTATTTTATTTTAGGAAGTAGTCATCCTGTTTAAATTTAACATGTGGGCCTTGACCTACTTTTGTGGGCTGTGATTCTGATGGCAACTTAATTTTCACAGGCTCTGTGGTATTGTTAATATTTTGGTGCTTGTGTTTCTGCTGTTTCTGGGGCTCCTACTGGTCCCTGCTGGTGCTGCCTGAGGTGGCAGCAGGCATCCCCTCAGACCAGGATGTTAGATATCTCCGAGGGGAGAGTTGCAGCAGCTCCCCCAGTGCTGTCTCTGGGGTGTCCCCATGTTGCTGGCAGGGAGGAGGGCCTTGAACCTACAGGGACCAAGAGGCTTCCCGGAAGGGGCCACTAACTGGAGACTGGCCCTCCTGCAGGATCTGTCCACATGCTCCCGCTCCCTGTGTACAAGGGAGCAGCGTCGTACATGGGAAGAAACAGGCTTCCCACACTGGCCACTTGTGTGGCTGGGTCCCCTTTTCCAGTCCTGCCTGCTCCAGTGAACCTGAGTTTTGCCAGAGTTGCTCCTTGTCTTAAACATTTTAATGGCCAATTGTCACTGCCTCCGTTTCACTTAGATTTGGGATGCTTGGTATTGGGAGACAATCATATGCTGAGTTTCTATTTTGTTTCCATTTGTGAGGTAGAGGAGTGATGAAAAGCCATGACTGATCCTACAGAGTCAGGGGAGGAGCTAAATGCTTGACCCCACTGCTAGATAAATGTTTCATTCCGTGTTTGCGGCCTTTGGGAACGTTATAGTTTTTACGTTTGGAGACTTGGGGAGCTAAATTTCATTTTCATTTGGCTCACGTAAATCTGATTGTTTTGCCTGGCAGTGTTGGTCCAGGTGGCCTGCCAGTGTGGACAGCGGCAGGAGCTCAGCTCTCTGATTCGGATTGTTTATCTCTTTTTCTCACAGACAGAGCTTCTAAGAAAATTTAGTTTTCTTAGTTCCTGGGTACAGAGACAACCAAGGCAGGGCTTACCCTTTTGTTGCCTAGAAAAACAGTGACTACCATCTAGCACACTCCTTCTCTATGCATGGAGACCACTGGTGTTACTTTTCTGTGTGAAAGCTACCCATTTGCAGATTACTAGCCAATCTTTGCTCTAACTGTCTAATTTCTTGTAGGAGAGGGTATGTCCTCTCAGTGAAAACGCAGACACATTTCATTCACGAAGGCTGACATAAAGCCTTGGAACAAGGTACGTCTAAAGCCTCCAAATTATGAAGTACAGACTGCACTTACAATTAGTGTGGTTTCTGTTATCAAATATAAAAAGTAATCAACATGATTTGGCACAGGCTCATTGCCCTCTAAAGCACACAGATTCAAGGTCAATATTTGCTAAGTCGTCATTTGCCTGTAGAAGGGACACATCAGAGGGTAGAAAATAACATAAACAAAGATCTGGACAGCAATTGTGGTGGGCAGAATTTCTAGAATGGCCTACCAAAGATGTCCTACTCTGTACCCTGCAACCTTTGAATATGATGACATGTCACTGTCATGACCAGGTTATGCTGACCTAGACAGGGTTATCGAGGTGGGTCCAGTGTAACTGTGGGAACCGCGAAAAGCAGGAGCTATTTCCAGCTGGTGGCAGAAGAGAAAGTGAGAGAGATTTGAACCACAAGAGGAATTGAATGTGCTTGAAGATGAGTCGTGTGAGAAGTAATACATGTACCTTAAGCAGCCGAGAGAGGCCCTGGGCTACAGCCAGCAAGGAAACGGAGCCTTAGCCCTCCAACTGCAAGGAGCTGAGTTCTGCCGGCAGCCTGAATGAGCGCGGAAGCTGACGTCTCTCCAGGAGGGGCCCAACATAAATTGAGATAAAGGGAGCAAGACGTCCCAGCCGCTTTCAGTGTGTGACAGCACCATCCTCGGAGGGTTGGGAAACTAAAGTTGCATTCTTACTTTAAGGAGCTGATAAAATAGTTGTATCTAATGAAGCATCTCCTTCCATCCCCAATTCCTTTAACTCTTCTCTCTGTGATACCAACAGAATCAACCAAAACCAGCCTACTCAGGAGCCAGATGTCCTCCCTCAGGAGCTCAGCTGGCAGTGAAAGGAAGGATGGCCTCTCCAATGCCAGCAGCCAGAGGACTGCTCTAAGTGACAAAGGCAAGCCAGAAAGGGTCTCTGTGGCCAGCCAGCCTCCCTTTCCCCAGTGTGTCTGTTCCAGAAAGAGCAGCGTGTAGATATGTTGGTGAAATCTTATTTTAAATGGGCCCAGATTGCTTCCTATTCAAAGGAATCCCTTGTAAGTCAGGTCTGCCTGCTTTATGACCTGGATTGTCTGAGAGCTGGCCTTGTGCTTATGGTGCCTGGGTGTTCAATACACACGTGGCTCACATAACTATGGTCATGCGCTGTCCCTTCATGGTTTGATTTTGAAACTGTCATATTTCATAGTTGGTTTTTTTCTTCCCTTTCTTCAATGGATGATGCTACCAGATGAGCCCCTCTCTGGTCCAAATGGTCAGCCTTTTGGGGACTGCTTATGAAGAAAATGTGATTTTTCCTTCAATCGTTGTTCCTATTGATAAAATTATTAATCTTAAAGTAATAAATTTTGAAATGTTTGATGCCTGTAGCATTTTTCTTATATTTCAAATAGTTGATAAATTAAAAATCCCAGTTAAACACACACATACACACAATCTCGTAGGGAGTAGGAAGTGGCCAGGTGGCAGATGTACCCCTGTGGCGACACAGTCATAGTTTAATTGAACTCCGTTTTCTTCAGTGCTGATCTGTGTGGTATCTTTTCCTCATTTTTTTTTTTTTTTTTTTTTTTTAGACAGAGTCTCACTCTGTTACTTAGGCTGGAGCGTTGTGCTGCAACCTTGGCTCACTGCAACCTCTGCCTCCCTGGTTCAAGCAATTCTCCTGCCTCAGCCTCCCGAGTAACTGGGATTACAGGTGCCCACCAGCACACCAGTCTAATTTTGTATTTTTAACAGAGACAGGGTTTCACCATGTTGGTCAGGCTGGTCTCAAACTCCTGACCTCAGGTGATCCACCCACCTCAGCCTCCCAGAGTGCTGGGATTTTGGCCAGGCACAGTGGCTCACTTTCAATTAACTGGCCGTATTTCCTAAGTTGTCTACATTCCTTAAAGGGCTTATCAAATGATGACTGGGATATGAGTTCTTAGCTATTTAACTAGCTCACGCCCAAACACACCTCCTTCTGAATGCTGCTCAGTCAATAGATATCCCTTTTCATTTATAAATACACATTTATATAAGGATATATTTAAAACCCCAAATATTAATTTGAAAATTTGAACTTACAACTAAACAGGACCTAACAGGTTTTATGGTTTTCTACAGAAAGCTGAAGAACCACAAAACAATCCATCAGAAATTAAAATGTTGATCAAGGCTCTCTTATATAATTTGGGGGAGTCCAAAAGGTCAATATTGAACAATCATCGGTTAATGGTATTTTTATTGCACACTTTTTAGAGGTGTGTTTTCTGAATGAAAGAATGAATATGTCTCATTGTCTCGAAACAGTGGTAGTGCTGTATTTACCCGTGCATTGGTCTGTAGTGTAAATTGCAAAAGAATCTTGCCTGAGAGCCCGCTCTGACAAATCAGGATACGTTCTCTGAAATGTGGTCCATTTATTAGCTCTCTGTCACAGCTGAACTGAGACAAGCGTGATCCCTTTGCATTTTATGTAAAACCCACATGTGAGGAAAATACACAACTGCCACTTCCCCTTCCACAGAAATGAGCATCCTGCTGCCTGAGGAGTGTCTTGATGACACATCGTCAGAAAGGGTGACCGGAGAAGGAAGCCAGGTTTACGACCACAAGTGAGTTCTTTAATTTGACAAAGACAGTTCTGTTATGCTTTTGTTGGTTACCCATCAAGTTGTAAAATTTAAAACACCACCTCCTTGTGTTCTTAGTTCTTCAGACGTATCTTCAGAAAACTGGCTCAAGACCTATGGCTTGGTTGCCAAGAAACTCACCCTCATGGATGCCTTGTCGGTGACAGCGGTCCCCCACAGCTCCACCTACGTTCCCGTCCTGGACAAGCATGTCACGTCTAAGGTCTTTGATGAGGTAAACTGATTGTCTGTGCGTCCCTACTTGAGGCCATTTTCATTTTCTGCTCAACTAAAAAGTAGTCCAATTTCTTGTGTGGTTGTAACAGAAATGTATTTTAGCCATTGGGGGAAAAAGTATTTGTAAAGGCAGTAGAAGGGAGAGAGAGAGGCTCTTAAGAATTCGGGCGCAGTGGCCCACACCCTTAACCCCAGCACTTTGGCAGGCTGAGGTGGGCGGATCCCTTGAATCCAGGAGTTTGAGACCAGCCTGGGCAACATCATGAAACTCTGTTTCTACAAAAAATACAAAAATTAGCCAGACATGGTGACATGCACCTGTAGCCCCAGCTACTTGGGGGACTGAGGTGGGAGGATCGCTTGAGCCTGAGAGATCGTGGCTGCAGTGAGTAGTGATGGCGTCACTGCACTCCAGCCTGGGTGACAAAGAGATATCTTGTCTCAAAAACAAGGAAAATAAGAATTCTCTTTTTAGGCTGGGAGGAAACTGATCTCGGTTGGGTTGGCACTCGGTGGCTCGTTGCTAATGGATAGAAGTGTGGGGCTGCAGAAATGATTGAAAACTCTAGGTCAGTGTCATGAGTGAACATCAAGTATCATCCCTCATGAAAGGAAAGGGACGGCTTGCGAGAGATTATGTCCTTCCTTTGCTTACCTTCTCTTCCTAAATGGAGTGGCATCTTTTGCATCAAAAAGCCTCCAAAGGAAAAAGTTAAGAGAGCAAAGGAAAAAGTTAAGAGAGCAAACGAGCAAGCCACATGTTAGCAAAAGGACCACCAGACTGTCCTAGGTGGGTCCTGAGAAGAGAAAAACAGCTTCCAAAGGGAGGGCGTGGTGGGGTTAAATGTGGAGGAAGGCCAAGGAAGTACCACTGAAAACTTAACACTGAATTTGGCAACAAGGAGGTGCTCATCTTTACAAGAATAATTCCAGTGGGACGGCTAATCTCGGGTCAGACTGCAGTGGGGATGAAGAACACCAAAAACATGAGAACATGAAGACTGAACCTCAGTGCTTCCTGGCAAATACAACAGCAACTGATTTAAATAGAAACATTTCAGTCTTTGCAGTCACTGAATGGAAACAGTATCCTTAAAAGACCTGTCTCATGCTGAAATCTTTGCAGAGGAAATGATGCGATGCTTGGGGATGCTTGGGGATGCTTGGGGTTTGCTTTATTGTAATGGGAGTGGTGGAGTAGTGTGGCGGGCTTGGGGGGAGTAGATGAAATAGATAGACCACACATTGATCATTGTTGCATTTGGGTAAGACTTGGTGAGAAGGGTCGTTTTACTATTCTTTCTGCTTTTTTGTGTTATTTGAAATTTTCCATAAAAAGAAGTTGAAAAGATCAAAGGCAGGAGAAAATTTTTTTTTAAATGAAAAGACCTTTTCTAACTGACCTTGAAGTAGCTGAGATTTGATGTATTGGAAGAAGCAGATGAATTGGTGAATTTTTTTTTATTCGCACGTTTAAAACGTTATCACCCATGGAGGCCCACCTGCCTGCTGGTTTGGGATGACCAGCGACTCTCCCTCCGGAGGCTGTGTGTGTGTTCTCCTTTAGGCTGGTTGCTGGCTGCTTTGCCTCAAGGTGAATGCTCCTGTCCCTGGCTGTTACCCTTGTGGTTGGCAGTTTTGATTTATACCTGATTAGTCAGATGTCAACTTCACCACTTGAACTTGACTTCTTCTAGAAGCAACAGGGAGAAACTGAACACTGATTTATTTCTTCTAGGAGGTTTGGGGACAGCTCCTTCATATTCTCTGCCGTTATTTTACTATTCTTGAGTTTTATTTGGGACAAAATATATTTAGTGAACTCTACCTAGAAATATAATTTTCCTGGGCTTCTTATGCCTCCTTCTAAATGTCCCAACAACTTGAGTTAGAGTGAAAAGGAAATTTCTTGAAAAAAATATGATAGGATAGGGAAGCAGAAGCATAAAATCCAAGGAAGAAACCAGAGAGGAAAGATTGACAGGCTGAGGAAGTAAAAATGCTATTTTGCTTAAAAACATGTAAATAAAATGAAGGCAAATGTCAGAAAAATACCTGCAACGTGTATGACAGACAAAAAGGGCCATAGGAGTGATATCTTACATGTGTGTATCAGTATAAATGACTGTGTGTGTGTGAATCAGTGTTCAGTGTGTGAACACACATGCACACACATCCATACCATAAGAGAATGAGAAAATGACAAATACCCCACTGGAAAATGTAGGGAAAAAAAGAAAAAAGTCAAAACCATATACAAAAATATTTAACTTTACTGGTAACCAACTCTATGCCTTAAAAAATGCACATTGAAAATCAATTAGACACTGCCTCCCTCATCAAATTGGTAAGGTTAAAAATCACCAATAAACAGTAATGGCAAGGATAAGGTGGGATGGACACTTATATCCTGCTAGTGAGAGTATAAATTGGTGCATCCTTAGTGTAAAATGTTAAGAGCCTATATTTACCCCAGTGAATTCATATATTACTAGGAATCTATGTAAGGAAATAACTAGAGATACTGAAGTGTATGTGCAGAGAAAAATTACTACTGCCTTATAGCCAACAATGGAAAACAACACAAATTCATATAATGGAGTGTCATACATTCCATTCATCAGATATCACATTTCTAAAGAATGAGTTTCACACGATGAAAAACCCTCATGCCCTCATGCTAAATGAAATACCATGCTAAATAAAAAAAAATCAGAGTGTATAGTGTGTTAGAAATTTGATTGTACATGTGACTGAGATAGGCATGGTGGTACTTTCTCCTTCCCCC